TGAGCTTTCATTTCCACAAGCTCGTTTCGTAACGAGTGTAATTCGCTGCGCAACAAGCTCAATTCTTTCTTGTGGTTCTCCTCCATTTCGGCTCTCTTTCTAAACTCTTGCTTGTTGGTTTCTTCAATTTCGGCTTTAAAAACAGAAAACATAGTAGTGCACTTCTCTTCCACCATTTTTTCGCTTTTTACAGCGCTAAGTGCAGGTTGTTGGCAGTCCTGACAGTACCAGTGTACTGACTTGTTTTTACGAATAACCGAGCAGTCAGTCTTGCTTAACTTTGCACAATTGTAAGTAAAAATTGTAAAGTTTCAAAGGGCTGTAAAAACTCGGTTACAGACTTGAGAATAAGCGGCTTTCAGTCGTCAGCGGCTGTAAAAGGTGTCAGGGTAGAAGAGGTAAGCTTGGCCATAAAAACAAGGGCTCTATTGTTCTACGCTGGCGAGGCAGTGCTGCACGCGTTGCCCTCGCCTGACCTGCTTGCGACCCTCGCTGACTCTCGATCGCGTTATTTCAGATGGAAACACTTTTACTATAGGCTTTTTTTTTATTTGCACTCTCTTTTACTGAATTCACTGAAAATTCAGTCATTCACTGACACGGATCATAAAAAATGCAAAAAGAGTTCCGAAAACGGCACAGTTAAAGTTAAAAGTTGAAAATCTGGGACCGCAAAACACGAGCGTCCGCTCTCGACCACGGCTGAAACTTGACTTCATTCTAGAAAAAATAGTTCTAAATGGTGCTTGTACATTCCACTGCTTTTCGAAATTATATTCATACGCAACTTAAAAAGCTCTATGAATTTCCAACTATTTTCACAAAACTCATTTGCGTTGTTATACAAATCATATATAAGGCATTTCTCTGGCATTAGTTAGTTTACAACACGGATAAATAAAAGATAATAAAGATGTTAAAGATAGTCCCAATGCTCTGTATCGACGAAGCCTTGATCAAGTCACATATAATAATGACGAAATAATTTTAATTAAACTATTAGTTTAATTCATTTATTACCTTCCATTATAAAAGCATGAGGTCCCAGTAAGCCAGCAGCAGCAAGTTGCTGCGCCTGATAGCTGTACTCAACAGGGCCGAAGTCGCCGCCGATTGAGATCCAGTCTTTGTCTTCAACTGAAAAAGGGAAATTTGGCTCGGGTTTTCAAGATATTTTACATTTTTAAATAAAAAAAAAATCGGTGCACGATTTTCTGAACATCTTCTTCGAACATCATGACTAAAAAGGAAGTTAATGGAATTATGAAATATACACTTGTCAGACTGACAGGGCGATAATTGCCAGGGCTGCTTTTGTCACCTTTTTTGAGCAATGGTGTTAATTTAAGTTAATGTTAAGTTAATGGAATTATGAAATATATATCAATAATTCACGTAGCCAATGAGTGAAATCCAAAAAGCGTCGCAGTTTTTGTTCTTACGAGTCTCGTTTTGACCCAGTTTTGCCCGGCTAAATGAGCATATCAATGCTACGTATACTCTCGGCTCATGTTGCGGGATAGGCAACGTGTCACAATTTGGACAATATAACTCGCTTTTTTCTCCACTAAAAACTCGCTCTTTTTCTCGTAAGCAAAGTTATGCAATTTCATACAATGTATTCAGGTTTGTCTGACTCTGAGATGTCAAAGACAGAATAAAAACTACCAATGAAAGAACGAAATTATTATTCCATTAAATTTCATTCTGTTGATTTTGCACCCAGGCTGTTATTCGAGAAATTTAGCTACCGTAATTCTCCCTAATATTGACGTAATATTCTCCCTTTACTCACACATGCTGGGTACAGGGATACCCAGACTCTTGACCATCAGCCCATTACTCACACATGCTGGGTACAGGGATACCCAGACTCTTGACCATCAGCCCATTACTCACACATGTTGGGTACAGGGATACCCAGACTCTTGACCATCAGCCCATTACTCACACATGCTGGGTACAGTGATACCCAGTCTCTTGACCATCAGCCCATTACTCACACATGCTGGGTACAGGGATACCCAGTCTCTTGACCATCATCCCATTACTCACACATGCTGGGTATAGGGATACCCTGTCTCTTGACCATCAGCCCATTACTCACACATGCTGGGTACAGGTATACCCAGTCTCTTGACCATCATCCCATTACTCACACATGCTGGGTACAGGGATACCCTGTCTCATGACCATCAGCCCATTACTCACACATGCTGGGTATAGGGATACCCAGTCTCTTGGAAGTCATCCCAATCCTGCACAGGATGCCGCTGCAAGGAGGACAGGCTTGGGCATGTCCTTCTGTGTTGATACATTTGTTCAGGTAAGGTATAGACAGTCTCTTGAACACGTCCTTGACTTTATCGTGGAGTGATGGCATCAGGAATCGCGTTACGCTGTAATTCTTCAATGCGTACAGCGATGCATATTCACTCATGAGGTTACCGAGTCTACCGAGCGGCCGGAACGTCATAACGGGCGCCGGAACTCCGTGCCACGTGCCCGTGCTTGCAAGACGTACGCGAATGTCGACCGCGGTCTTTGGTAACGGACGGGAGTCGACGCAGGTTGCGCACGCGTACGTTTCTGCAAAATCCTACAGGACGAAACGTGCTGATAAGTGCAGGGAATTTAGAATTATGTAACATTGAAAATCAAGTGAAAATATTGTACCGGTTTTTCTTAATCCATGACGGGAAAAGCATTATGATTGTTATTGCGCGAGGATATTCAGTAGGATGCTTTTAACGTAAATTTCAAATTAAATGGACAAAACATTAGGATCGAATTAGACAACTCACGAAATTACTAGCGAAACTTCGTCACCATTGCTGGAGGTACTCAATGTTATTCATCTTTGCTCGAAAAATATATACTAGACATAAAAGGTGCACCAATAGGAAGATGTGATAAAAAGAAATTTATTTTTGTGCAAAAGGAGACAAACAAAGCTGAACGACTCTCTCCAGTGATTCCATAATTTTTTTAAATGCAAAAGCACTTCTATAAGTTGTCAGTTATTTCGAGAATAAGACGTTTTTTAATCTTGACACTCTATTGTCTATATAGAGATTCATGAAACGATTGAACTTTTACTGCAGTGGTATCGAAATGATGAATTCATTACAAGTGTGTCGCTCTGACCTTAAGAATGGCCAGTTTATCAGTCAAATCCTCTTCAGTTTCAGTTAAAGTTTCTTTCATTAATTTGATGACCTTTGTGTTGTTTATCCCAGTGACTTTGAGGATCAAATCCAGCATCTGGTTGGCAACTGGAACCGAAAAAATAAAGCTTCTGTTAGTCATACACGAGAATAAATACTGGTATAGTTAGTCTGAATTTGTATTTGTACTATAGTGTCGGAGGGTATGGTAACCCGAAAGGGAATCATTGATAAGAACTACTCTCTGGTCTCAAAAACACTGTATTTATGTACTAAAAAATTAAGTACAAGAACCTTATGCAAATTTCGCAAGTTCCTATCATGATAATTGTTTCCTTTTGTATGCTTGTATTACTTTAAATTAGTTAGATGATTTTTAGATTATATTTTTTGACTCGCTTAGACATCGACGTGAATCATTTCACAGTTAAATTTTCTATGATCGAACAGCAAAGAAAATGCCGAAAATTCGAATTGTTTTCAAAAAAATCTTAGTAGACCTTTCCGTTATTAGCAATTTGGAAACGTTACTGCGATTTTATTACACTGTGAACCCGAAATAAACGACTCTTTTAGAATTTATATCTTCTGTGAATTCAAAAACTTGTGTTCCAGTTGGAGATAATCGAAGAAAATGCCCACAGCAGAGGAATGCTTGGAAATTGGAACAGTAAGGCCATCTGATTACGTATTCTTATTTTGAAATGTACTTTTATGTATTTTCATCATGTATTCTTATCATGTTATTTTTATTTTGAAATGTATTCTTATCTATTCTTATTATGTATTCTCTTTTGTAAATGTATTTTTACGCATTCTCATTGCGGATTCTTATTTTGAAATATATATTTTTTGCATATGTGCTGCAACCGAAACCTCTGATGACACAGATCGCGTTACGAGTTGTTGTTATAATGTCACTTGTGTTGTTATGATCACAATAACGTATAATAATTATTTTTTTAAATTTGTATTTATCTTTATTATTCTGAAATTTTCTGAGCTCATCTTTTGTTTTCAAAAATGTTTCTTTACGTATTTTCGCAATTGTTAGTTAGACCTGGGAACTGAATAAATGGTTCTCTGGAGAACGACGTGTCCGTCATTGGGGGGAGAATATTTCGTTGGGAGTTAGTCAGTTAGCGGAAGCCGAATGTGGAGGTCATGTGTACACTGTGTAATTAAGTTCATGAATTCAACGTCAGTAATTGTGTCTTGTTCATTATCCTCCAAAGACAGTGTACTACCAAAACTATACGATCGTAAGGCTTTATAAAGTGGTGGCCACGTGTAGACTGCGGAGGCGTGTGCGCCACGATATAAATTGGTGCCGTGATCATTGTCTGAAGTGAAACTGTGAGTTATGACAGTGCCAGTAGACCTTCATTATACAGTTATAAGCAGAAAAAATTAAACCAGTGTTATTTGGTGACTATTTATTGGTGATTATATCGCTCAGCACATGTTAATGCAGCCTCGAACTTCAGAGTGCATCCTAAATACCTACATTCATCCACTACTCATTGTTAAATAATATTTTCTATCTATTCAGTCCATTCAAAGTATTTCAGATTATCATTAATGATCTGTGCTGTCAGAGCTAGTAGTGAATTAAGCGACTTGAGATTTCAATATTCAATATACAAGTTTACAATTTTGTAATCACTCTGTAATATCATTATTATTATTTTAATGGAAAAATTATTATATTGAAAAGGTTTCATTAAGTCTTTCAATGAAAAGTTTGCTGCATGTGCGCTTTATCATAAAACGACACATGACAAGGCTGTAGGCTGGAGCTACGAGTTACTTTCTTACGGCTGTCCACCACTAGCTGTTTAAATAATTTAAATGTATAATTTAAATAACCACCTTGTAGAATTTGCTGGTTTGTTTCAGTTCCGTTGATCACTACAGAAATTCTCACTTTATATAATTGAAAATCATGTATGTGACACCACACATTTGATATAATTGAAGTGAAATAGATGTTCATTGTACAGAAAGTCTCACATGATATAATCGAAAACATGTATTTGACACGACATACTTGATACAATTGAACTGAAAGAAATGTTCATTGAAAGTTAAACCATCATAAACGTTTGATGGATGATATCAGTCGATTTTATTACAGTTTGATTTATTTTGAATATAGTTTTACTTAATATTATAAATTTTCAGAGGTAAAATTGCTATTTTAATAGTGCTATATTTTAACAGACGCAGTAATTGATTCTATTTTTAGAGGTTGTGACAGTAATAGAATAGCGTAGAGATAATGTTGTGGGGTTGTTATTGGGGAAGGCTGGGTCTGTGAGTTCATGAGGTTGTGGGTTGTTGGAGTTGTGGGTTGTTGAGGTTGTGTGTTGTTGAAGTTGTTGGTTGTTTAAGTTATGGGTTGTCAAAATTATTGGGGTTGCGGGTTGTTGTCTGTGGGTTGTTGAGGTTGTGGGTTGTCGAGGTTGTTGAGGTTGCGGGTTGTTGAGGTTGTGGGTTGTTGAGGTTGTGGGTTGTTGAGGTTGTGAGTTGTTGAGGTTGTGCGTTTTTGAGGTTGTGGATTCTTGCAGTTGTGTGTTGTTGAGGTTGTGGATTGCAGGAATTGTGGGTTGTTGAGGTTGTGGGTTGTTGAGGTTGTGGGTTGTTGAGGTTGTGGGTTGTTGAGGTTGTGGATTGTCGAGGTTGTTGAGGTTGTGGGTTGTTGAGGTTGTGGGTTGTCGAGGTTGTGGGTTGTTGAGGTTGTGGGTTGTTGAGGTTGTGGGCTGTTGCAGTTGTGGGCTGATGAGGTTGTGGAGTGTTGAAGATATAAGTTGTTGAGAATGTGGGTTGTTGGAATTGTGGGTTGTTGAGGTTGTGGGTTGTTGGAGTTGTGGGTTGATGGAATTGTGGGTTGTTGAGGTTGAGGGTTGTTGAGGTTGTGGGTTATTGGGGTTGTGGGTTGTTGAGGTTGTGGGATGGAGAGGTTGTGGGTTGCTGAGGTTGTGGGTATTTGGGGTTGTGGATAATTTGGGTTGTGGGTTTCTGGGGTTGTTGCCTTGTTGGTAGTTAGAGCTGTGGGTGGCTGAGGTTGTGGGTGGCTGAGGTTGTGGGTGGCTGAGATTGTGTGTGAATGAGTCTGAGTTTGGTTGAAGTTGTGGGTGGCTGTATGGGGTTGAGTGTGCCAGGGGTTATGGGGCCAGGGTATAAGGTTATATTCCTCACTGAGTTTTTGTAGTCTCACCAACAAGTTTGTTTAGGGCTGGCGGCAGGAACCTGACATTTTCCTCATCGGCGAGGTTGGTGAAGATTGAAGATTCATGTACAGCTGAGGGAGACAAATTTAATTGAGAAAAATTAAGTGGATTATTTTCTTCAAATTTTATTACTATTATATTTATCTTCATACTTATGTAAATTTAATGAAAATGTTAAAAAACCAGCTATATATTAGCAATCATCTTATTTTTGCGTATCATCTTTGCTGATTAGATAATGACAACACCGTATGGTAAGACTACTACAATGAGTTAACAATGAATTAAATATAAATGACTCTGTATGCACTGCATGCTGATGTCACGCATTAGTAATTCTGCCTAGCAGCATTCATTTTAGCGCCAACAGGATTAATAAATCTTGACTGAATCCTATGTAACAGGACTGAGTCTGAAAACTTAAGATTATTTAATATGCATAGTACCTCAGGCTTAAATTTTCTATAACGAAGGCATAAAAAATAGAGTGTGTATTCCACATATACGACTATGATTGTTGAATAAAACATATGTGATTCCAATGCATACTTAGAGAAGTGAGTGTCGTATTTTCCAAATATCGATACCCTTTTGCCCCCTGTGTCCTGACCCAGTTCGACCCGGCAAAAGAGAGTACAGTGGTACGTCGAAAAAGAGATAGTGTCAGACTATTCGAACCGTATTACCCAGTGATTTACCTGGTTATGCAATTAAAAACATAATTAGATAACTTATAAGGAACCAAACACTTTATAAATGAAGTAACCAACCTCGATTGGTCTCGATGAAGCAGTATATGAGCTGCAGGAGGGCGACAGCGGCTACTGTACGCTTCATGTATGGGTACTTCAACAAATGATTGCACATAGCGGCAAAACAATCCTTAAACAACTGTAATTGCGTTTGATGTCACGATGGTCTCCTATCACTGCAATCACGGCTCTTATACTCGTGATTGTCTCCTATCACTGCAATCACGGCTCTTACACTCGTGATTGTCTTCTATCACTGCAAACACGGCTCCTGTACTCACTATATTATCATGCATACACTGTCACTGTAAGAGAATGCCTAAACTATCTCAATACTCGCATAGTTTCAATTCAATTCCACACACTGAGTACAACACAGCTGCTTTAATACAATAATGCACAACGTACAACACAGCTGCTACAACACAATAATGCACAGCGTACAACACAGCTGCTACAACACAATAATGCACAGCGTACAACACAGCTGCTACAACACAGTAATGCACAACGTACAACACAGCTGCTACAACACAATAATGCACAGCGTACAACACAGCTGCTACAACACAGTAATGCACAACGTACAAATCAACTGCTACAACACAATTATACACTGTGTGCAACACAGCAACGTTGACTCAGCAATACACGGGTGTAACACGGCTGTATTAACAGAAATAATTTTCTGTGTACAACACAGGTACACAGCATTGACTAGTGTACATTTTTTGTACCAAGTACATATAACGTACATGAAACAATTTCTCCAAGTATATAACTCTTCAGCAATATAAACCAACAATCTTGTTTGACAGAGAAAATTCTCAAAGAAATGATTTCACCGGCATTAGTATTACTAATGTAATAATGAGGCAATGGCATATTATAATCTAGGGAATAGAGTAACATTGGGCAGCGGGCCCCCCTTTTTTAACTAAATTTTTGATAAAGTTTTAATTGATACGAGGTAGTTTTTTTGATTGATACGAAGTAGTTTTTTTGATTAAGTTACAACTAATGAAAAATATATTATGTGAATTAGACGCCTATAGAGTTATTCAATTTTTAACGAAACACTTTTTTGTAAAAAGTGTCAAAATGGGCCCATTACCCCACCCCTGGGGAAATGGGCCCATGGGCTTGGGGCAAGGCGCCCAGCCCTGGTCCCTTTACCACAATTGCATATTTTTTGTTTAAAAATGATAAAACAACACTTTACAGTTCAAAATAAGGAAAATGTAATAAAAATATTCCATTCATTTATTTATTAACAACTTAAAAAATCATATCCTTAACTTGAATACAATATATTCATGGCTCAAAAAATATTTCTATGACATAAAAATATATATCCTTGACTGGAAAAATATATCCTTGCCATAAAAAATTCATCATTGACATGAAAAAATGTATCCTTGACTAGAAAAAATATATTTACTTGATCAGAAAAAAACTTCGTTCTGGTTTCGTCCATAATCCAGATATTATGGGCAAGAAATTCGTACTTAATTGTGATTTCAGCCAACAGCACAAAAATTCATCAACTTTTGGCTCATTGGTGTTGGCTGAAATGAACTTTTGGTAAGGCAAAAGTCTATAACTCGATAAGGGGTCATAAATACGCATAACTAGAAACTAAACTTGCTGCCTTTGGGCGGCATATAAAAAATCATGAAATATGAAGTGTAATTTGCAATTCAAAAAGCTAGTCATAGTTTTGAAGAGCTCATTGAGACAAATCTAATCATGTATAACACAAGACTTCACAGAGGGATATTGAACCCACCATGAGCGCTTGGCCCCTTGAAACGCATGGGCCCGTTGCCCCACTAGCTATCATTCAATTTATATCGCAGAACTTTTTAGCAGAACGTAGAGCCACACACTTCATCCCAGTGAAACTGTCGACCGGCGGTAGAAAACACGGACCAATATCTGCCATACTTAGCGGGAAACCCGATGTGGGCCCGTGAACCGCAGTGATCCCTTTGTCCCATGTTACCTATTTATAACTTTGTCACTTGTTAGGCTGAGAATTGATAGTCATTAGTTTTCTTCTTCTAAATAATTGGTATCCGACTATGCGCAAATCTATAAATACCTACTCTTGACAAGCAAACCCAAAATCCCTTGACATTTAACCAAATTATTTTTAAATGTCTTCTAGTTTTTTTTACGGCAGAGTAATACATTCCATAATTCAAAATTTTCATACGTGGACAACTTCTGTACTCTTGCCAATCCAGGATTAGAGGTACATGAGCGTATGACAATGTTAGGACAAATAATCTTTTTAATACCACGACAACATTTGCTATGGCTATTCAATGCACAACACATGACTATGACTTAATATAACATCGTGAATATTGCTCCTCCATTATTTATTCTCTTACTTTGTTAGTTTATTTAAAATTCTGCTAACATTTGGGCGGTCGGAATCTTTCACCATATCAACTGGCCGTTGTAGACGTGAAAAGCGTGGACAACGAAAAGTAACAAGAATATTCAGAAAGTGAATTACCTTTATTAAAATCGACGAAAAAGCGATGTCCTGTCGAGGAATAAGCTAAAAGTGATGTTATATGAGAAATACGCAGAAAGTGATTATTGGTAAAAAATAGTGATATGCTCTGGAAAATAACAGATATAAAGTCATTATGAGCTGTGGAAAAATAAGCAAAAGTGATGTGCTGTGGAAAGTGAAGCGTTGTAGAGAATGAGCGAAATGTAATTTACTGTCTAAAAATAGCATAGTGTAAAAAATATAATTCAGTACTCACTGCAGTGAGTGACAGAGAGCACATTTTCTCGTCAACGAAAACGTGAAGTCACGGACGGACAGACAGACGGACAAACGGACGGACAGACGGACAAACGGACGGACAGACGGACGTGGCGAGCAAAATAATGCATTTTTCCATAAATGAGAAAATGCGCGAAAATGCGCTAAGAATTTCGGTGCGGATATCATTTATTTATATCAATTATTTATGATGGCTGAGATCAAGACCTGGGTTAGCTTACACATTTTCGGGAAGGTCAATCTTCAACCAATTCAAAACTATAATCTAAATAACGAAAACGTGAAGTCACGGAGAGACAGACGGACGGACGCACGAACACGGCGAGCACAATAGTGCATTTATTCCATAAATGAGAAAATGCGCTAAAAATAGCAAAAAAATTAAAGGTTTAGGAAAATTAGTAATAAACGATGTGTTGTGGAAAAATAAGCGTAAATGGTCGTCTTGTGAAAAAGTATAAAAAGAAGTACGCCGGAGCTGAAGCGTTTTGTCCGATTTTGTCAATTTCATATCAGCAAACCCGCTTGAGATCGCGGTGCAGCAATCCTTCAGTCTATTGGTCCGCCTTTTAATGCAGATGACTTATCTGTTTTAAAAGCGGAGTGCCCTTAAACTGCGGTGTGACTTTAAGACTGCCCTTAAAGTGACTGCGGAGTGCCTTTAAAAAGCGAGGTGAAGTTCACATGAGCCACCCACAGGTTCTGGTAGGCGGCCTGAAGTGCCTTCAAGGCTGCCAGCGTCGAGGGTTCTAAGGACTGAGACGTCACCAAGAACCACACGCTAGCTTTTGGATTTATTTTGCAGTAACTGCAGAGATGGGCAAAAAGGTTAAGCAAAGATTCGGTTAAGGCCTGTTGCTGGCAGTGGCCGAGACCGGAGGAGTGGGGTCAAGATGTGGACTAATGATGGCCTACGTACTTGATGAGTTAAGGTTGAGAATGGAAGAAATAAAATAATTATAGCAGCAATACCTTAGGAACTCACTCGCAGGAAGCATGTTGTGTTTGAGTATGTTTAATAAACTACCAGGGCGTATTGTGATACCTAAGGGCATATTGTGATCCCTAAGAGCGTATTGTGATACCTAAGGGCGTATGTGATCTCTAATGGCGTATTGTGATCCCTAATGGTGTATTGTGATCCCTATGGGCGTATTGTGATCGCCAGAGGCTTATTGTGATCCCTAAGGGCGTATTGTGATACCTAAGGGCGTTTTGTGATGCCTAAGGGCGTATATGATCCCTAATGGTGTATTGTGATCCCTTTGGGCGTAATGTGATCGCCAGAGGCTTATTGTGATCCCTAAGGGCGTATAGTGATCCCTAAGTGATCTCACTAATTAAATGAATGATTGAGTCCGAGATGGTCCGTACAAAATCCCCCGGCACTTAACTTACACACATACACTAACGTCACTTACACTAACGTCATTTACACTAACGTCACTTACACTAACGTCACTTACACACTTACACTAACGTCACTTACACACTTACACTAACGTACCCTACACACTTACACTTACGTCACTTACACACTTACACTAACGTCACTTACACACTTACACTAACGTCACATACACACTTACACTAACGTCACTTACACACTTAGACTAACGTCACTTACACACTTACACTAACGTCACTTACACACTTACACTAACGTCACTTACACACTTACACTAACGTCACTTACACACTTACACTAACGTCACTTACACACTTACACT